ACTTAGGCAATTTAAATTTAAGACTTAGCCAACTTGATCAAATTTAATAGATTTGGCTAATAATTGAATAAGACAAATTAATATTAATTAATTAACGAGTTTCTTAATCTTAACGAAATAAAATAATTAACTTAATTATAAATTAATTAATTTAACAATATAAACGACTAAATAACCAAATGTTTAAATAAAGATAAAATCCTTTTGAGACAATTTTCCAACATTCATAAAATATACTAATTAGACACATAATTATATAATAATTAACTTAATTATAAAATAACTAATTAACTCAAAATTGTAAACTATTAAATAACTAAACAAACTAACCAACTATTTAATTAAATAAAATATTTTGAGACGATTTTTGAATATTTATAAAGTTCAAAAGTATACACATATTATTTAAAAATTATAAAAAGTGACAAACCATTTAAAACTAACTTGAAAAATATTTTGAATTTTATAAAGTCAATTATTTTAAATCATTTGAAAATTAAGAAACTCGGAAATTAATTATTATCGGGGAGGGTCAAAATTGGGTTTCAACAATTAGTATTTGTTATTGTTTATAATTTGTTTTTGTATTTCAGTGAAATGAAAAAAAAACAACAACAATGAAACTGTAAATCACATTATGTGATTTTGTTTTTGTAAATCGTCACTATAGTTAATTTTTTTAGTATTTTTGTATAAACAAAACATTTTGTTTATAATACATATTAATTGTTGTGAAATTGTAATATTAGTGACTGTGTTGGTAAGTTATTTTTTTTTTTTTTTTGCTTTTAGGTTATTTTGTATAATGTTAAAACGTTGATTTCGTGAAAATTAGCGCAATATATGAATGATTTGAGCATAAATGTATAGCATATTAATATGTTTATCGTTGTAGATTGGGTTTGTAGATTAAGATTATAATATTGAATACTGTTTTTTTCCTGAAAATATGAATTAAATGTATAGTTTTGAATGAATTTGGTAGTATAAATGGAATGAATTTGGTATAAAAGTGTGTTCAGTAATGTTTTAAAAAAGTTATTTTGAATTTTGAAGAAATGTATGAAAAGGTTCTAAAGTTGGTATAAAATTTGAAATTTTATTATTTATATAAGTTTTGTCAATTGTGTATAAATTTGGTATGAGTGATGATTGTTTATATGAAATATGTATTAAGTGGGTATGAAATGTGAAATATTATTTTTTTTGAAATATGTTTTGTAGAGTACTGTCCGAATGATATTTGTATGAAAAGATAATGACAAGTGTGTATAATTTTGTTGTTATTATAATGAATTTTGTGGATGAAATTTGTATGTTCTTTGAATGACTAATTGTTTTTTTTTTTTAATGAAATAGGGAAATATGTTGATTTTCAGATGGAGGGGATTATATATGAATCTTCTAGTCTTTATAGTGGTCTAGTAAGTGCGATAACATCGCAACTTATGATAGATGGATGAACCTCTGCCATGCGAGAGTACATGGGATATACCAAGTTATGTTTCAGAGCCTAAATTGATGCCGCCCGGTCCAAAAAGAACGGTAGGAAGACCGTAACTTGAACGTTGGAAAGGGTTTGTTGATGTGAAATTCAAATGATCTAGAGTTACTTGTAGTAGATGTCGTCAAGTTGTCCACAACAGGACGACATGTTCAAATTATCTTGTGCAAAAAAAATAATTATTTATTTGTTTACATTGTATAAAATTTTAATTTTATTTTGACTTTATGACTCATGTTTTGTTTTGATATGAAACATAATTGGTGTGAAATGCATTATAACGAAATGTTTAATATACTGTTCATTTTTTATACGTGTTTAATTCATTAATCATACAAATTTCATATTGCTGGAAATAAAATTTATTCAAGCTTAATATATAAGATAGTGTTAATATAGTGATAATTATACAAGGTAATTATGGAATGCATTTAGTATCCTGAGTATTTAATGCAAGTTATCATGAATATTAATTTGGTTTCCAACTGGTGTCCTACTATAAATAAAATTAAAACAAAAATTTTACCAATCTTGTTCAAGTTTCATTCCAACACTAACTTCAATTTATATCACACATATTATACCAACAATAAATCAATTTCATATAAACATTCATCAATTTCGTATAAACATTCATAATTTCATATAATCACACAATGCATACCATTTGTATATCAATATTATATCACAATTCATACAATATCCAACAATCAAACATTAAAGTCGGATGCATACACTTATTAATCAGATTTCATACACGTTTCATCCAAAACCAAGTTTAGAATAGAAAGGCATAATGTGATATTTTTAGAAAAAAAACACTAGTTTGACAATTCATACCATATACACAGTTAATAGATAATCACACTAATGTTAAAACACAATTCATACCATTTGTATACCAATGTTATATCACAATTCATACAATATCCAAAATCAAAACATTAAAGTCATAGTCATACAAATATTAATCAGATTTCATACATATTTCATCCAATAAATGTACAGTTTAAAAACACACTGATATTTTTAAAATAGTGAATCCAATTGGTATGAAGTCTGTATATTACTAGTATCCTGAAATTATAATTGCCAATCAGTTATTCATATGTAGATGGTATTTGACTGGAAGAAAACATATGATATTATATATCATCAAGCAAACATTAAAGTCAGAGGCATACACGTATTGATCAGATTTCATACACGTTTCATCCAAAAACATGTTTAGAATAGAAAATATGTTTAGAATAGAAAGTAAGCGTATTGTGATATTTTTAGAAAAAATCTAGTTTGACTATTCATACCATTTTCATACCAGTTTAAAAATTCATACCAAATACACAGTTAATTGACAATCACACTAATGTTAAAATATAATTCATACCATTTGTATACTAATATTATATCTCAATTCATACAATATCCAAAATCAAAACATTAAAGTCATAGTCATACAAATATTAATCAGATTTCATACGCATTTCATCCAATAAATATACAGTTTGGAAACACACTGATATTTTAAAAAAATTGAATCCAACTGGCATATAGCCAATAAGTAATTCATATGTAGATGGTATCTGACTGGAAGAAAACATATGATATTATATATCATCAAGTACTTAAACACAAAAAAATTGTCCAAAAGTTAAAATAAATAACATGTAATTCTAAAAAAGTAGAAGGTGCAATCAACTATCTCAAATTTCTTGTATGTGGTCTTGGTGTAGGATAATTGGTGGGGTCCGGAACATGTTCTTTTGTTATGCGAGGTCCACCAAATTTCTAGCAACCGTACCAGTAACTTCACTCTCACTGATCGCGCCATCCTCATTCTTTATTTTTCCATAATGCCATAGAATTGTGGCATACCTTTGACGATGGTACTTTGCATCGATATCAACAGAATGCATATCAAAAACATCATTACTAATGTATTCAACAAATAGACATGTGTACAAACCACAATCATTGAAAAAAAATTGAAAGAAAAAACATTTTAAGCAATAAATTTAGTTACCTTTTCTAATGAAAACAATAAAGTATAGAATTACATACTTGAAACTATCTTCTTGTTGAGGAACATGCATCATATGCTTGATATCAAGTAGGGCATGAACTTCATCAGTAGAAGTTCCTTCAACCAATCTGGACTCTTTCGAGGCGTTTCAATGGGTTTCTTAGACATGATTTTGTTGAAAAACTTAATTGGACGGACGATTGTGAAAATGGTATAGTTGGTTGATGAGAAAAATGGGAGAGACAAGGTGAAAGTGGGGTAGTGGGGGTGATGGCGTGTAGATTTGAATAGGCGTGGATGGAGGGTGGTGGGATTGAGGTATGAGAGGTTTGGAGTGTAACAGTAAACAAGGAAGTCTAATCTATGTAAATCCCTTAATATGTGTAACTGATGATTTCAGTTTTAAAAAGGAACTGAAATCAAATTAATTAAATATTAGTAATTACTAATATAAAAATATAAACAGATTAATCATTTATTAAATAAATTGAAATTGATTTTTAAATTTAATTTAATTTAATTGATATGTCATAACCTGTAAATAAACTGTTATAAGTAAGAATTGTTTAAAAGTATGTTTAAAACCCGTAAAATTTACTCTTAAATGTGTATATAGCGTGAATTTTCCTTCTTTAAATGATAATGGAACTCAGAATCACTTCTTGGTCATAATTGCATCATTTAACACATTTGGTCTCTCATCTATCTAATTGCTCCGTGTTATTTTCACCATTTTAAAAATATGAACATGATTTAAGGTCATGATTTCGAGTCACCAATGGAGCAATGGTGGAAGCTCATAAGGGAGGGGTAAAAAAAAAACGTTGGCATGCACAAAATATACATTGAATGTCATTGTATGTATTTTGTATTTTATTTATATGTCATTGTATATCCAGTTATATATACATAAGACATAGTAATATACACCAAATATACATCATATACAGTAAGATACAACATATATGAGTTGTTGGACTTGTAGTATCAAACGTTCAATTATTGATCACGGAAGCGCTAATTAGCTGTTGGGACCCTTGGACTTGCATTTCATAATTCCAATTGTTTTTATTAATGTCTTATTTTTGTCTCATTGCCAATTTGCCACTCATACAAGTGGTCCTATTTCACACAGGTGTGCGAACTATTGCATGGCCATGAATTACTCTTATGTTTTTGGTCAAGTTGATATTATATTGCAATAATCCACAATCACACGTGGCAACTATGTATTGGCTGTAAGAGAGGAGATCAACATTGAGTTAGATTTTTTTGAACATATTAAGTATCTAAAATGAACAAGAATGCAAGAGGATACAAATTGGAATCCACCAATGAGAAAGCAGATATAGATATTCAAGGATAAGGATATTGGGCCTCTATATATACAGTCTGGTGCAAGGCCCATAAAACTCAAGCCTCAAATCAACTCCTCTTATTTTTTTGTGTAGAAAGTGTTTTCTAAGAGTTCTCATTCTACTTCTACAATGGCTGCAGCTACAATGGCTCTTTCTTCATCTACATTTGCCGGGAAGGCAGTAAAACTCTCACCATCTTCTTCTGAAATCACTGGAAATGGAAGATTCACCATGAGGAAGGCTGCCGCCAAGGCCAAGCCTGTCTCTTCTGGTAGTCCATGGTATGGTCCTGACCGTGTCAAGTATTTGGGCCCATTCTCTGGTGAATCCCCAAGCTACTTGACTGGTGAGTTTCCTGGTGACTACGGATGGGACACTGCTGGACTTTCAGCCGATCCAGAAACTTTTGCCAAGAACCGAGAGTTAGAGGTGATCCATTGTAGATGGGCCATGCTTGGAGCTCTTGGTTGTGTCTTTCCTGAGCTCTTGTCCCGTAACGGTGTAAAGTTTGGTGAGGCTGTTTGGTTCAAAGCTGGATCCCAAATTTTCAGTGAAGGTGGACTTGATTACTTGGGAAACCCAAGTTTGGTCCATGCACAAAGTATCTTGGCCATTTGGGCTTGTCAAGTTGTGTTGATGGGAGCCGTTGAGGGTTACCGTATTGCTGGTGGGCCTCTTGGTGAGGTTGTTGATCCACTTTACCCTGGTGGTAGCTTCGACCCATTGGGCCTTGCTGATGATCCAGAGGCTTTTGCTGAGCTCAAAGTAAAAGAAATCAAGAATGGTAGACTTGCTATGTTCTCCATGTTTGGATTCTTCGTTCAAGCTATTGTCACTGGAAAAGGCCCATTGGAAAATCTTGCAGACCACCTTGCTGATCCAGTTAACAACAACGCATGGGCTTTTGCCACAAACTTTGTTCCCGGAAAGTGAAGTTCTTAAAATAGACTAGTCTTCTAGTATTTGATGTGTTTGTTAGCCCTGTAAAGCAAGTTATTGTAAATTAGTGGAGATTATATATGAATTTTTATTTAATCTTCAATATTGTGTAGTTCCATATTATTATTTTATATTTACATTTTGCAATAGTGTTATGAGGTTGAACTTTCAGGTTAGATGTGTTTGCATTATATCATTAATATAGTCTTCTGCCTATGTTGTGTATGCTCTCATATCATCATGTGTAAAGGAAAAAAGAAGAGAAAATCCCCTATCAAAATAGTTGATTTAGAATATACAAGTGCTCAAGCCCTTATAAAAAAAATTAAGATTATGCTCTCATGTAGACACTCTTGACCAGCAGTGACATAATTATAAATTTAATCAAATACAAGATAAAATATTTTAGGAGGGTTTGGCCATATATTTTATATAATTTTCATTTTATTTGGAATTTATCGAGTTGAAGTTAAAGATGAAGTTGTGTCTGATTATAGCAAAAAATATTTAGAACAACATTCATGCTTAAATGTATTTTTCAAAATTGAAGTATAACTTCAAGTTAAATTTGAAATTTTCATAGTCATAAACAGATTTTCAAATTAAATTTTTTTTTATATTTTCTACTTTGGTAGTAGTTTAGATGATCGTTATTTACTACAAATATATAAAAGTAAGAGTTTATTGAAGTTCAAAGTTGCCTATATTTTCTCATATAACTAATCAACTAGATCCACCAAACTCTGAAGACATAAGCAATCTCATTAGCTTCCAAAATTAGCAAAATAATGGAATTAAAAAAAAATCATATCTTTGTAACCAATAAATTGGTTCCAATTGGATGTCTTTTTTTGTTTTTTTTCCTCGAGTTGGTGTGGTAGCTAAAACTCAGCCAAACAAATTTAGGTGCTGATTAAATTGACCAGTTAAATGAGAGGTGGCATCCTTAATTAAATATTCTTTGAATACAAGGTGTCATATTGTCATGGAAAATGAGATGTTGCTTAATTAAATAAATAGTTGAACCCACATTATCTTTTTTGTGGATGGAGTCATGTGGGGTGTGGGAACTCCCTGTTGAAATATGGAACTACTTGTACATAATGTTATTTTCTTAGTATCAATTTATGTGATTGGGGTTGAAATTTAATATGAGTAAAATATTGATAATATCATTAAATATTTATCAAATAAAATATTATATTGTTATTTTTTAAACGAAGGAATACTGCCCTGCCGATAAAATGGCCAAAATATGAAATAGAAAACTCGCTCACTTCAAAATCTCAAATAAGAGAACCTCTATGCGGATGCGATAGGAAAGCCAAGCCGTAGGGCTATATAAATTGCAATAGAGGGAGAAGGAGTGAGTATAAAAGTTGTGAAGTTCTAGAAGGTTCGATTAGGTTGTGTTTGGTAAATATTTTTCAATTTTTTTTTTTTGATTGGTGAAAATATTTTTTCTAAAAAATAAATTTCTTACCGTTTAAGAACAATGATTTTCCTATTAAAATTATAAATTAAAAAAAAAAAACAAATTTCATAAATGGCATAATGACATTGAAAATCATTGTCTTCTCCCCACCACCAAAAGCTCCAAACCCTTATTCCTTAACCATTCCACCTCCCGCCACCCTCAAACTCTCATTCCCCACATTCTATCCTAGTAGTTTTTCTTCTATAATATATCAAATTTTATTTTGATTTTCTCGGGTATATGCATTGGATCTCGACTAGTTCAAATTGACATTGCGTAGGATCCATTCAAGAAAAAAGTTTTCCATTAAAAAAAATTTCATACCCCAAAATTCGAAACTGAGGCTTCCGATTATGGAAGAAGCAGTTTCATCCGCTACACCACATCCTTTAGTGATTATAATATTACATATAAATACTTTTGAAACATGATTTTGAACTTGAGTATCAAACACCAAGAAATAAGTAATAAAATCATTTATTTTCCATGAATTTATTTTTCTTCATGCCAAAAACCCATAGTTAGTTAAGTGAGTAAGATGGTTAGTTAGCTAAGCAAGTGGTTAAGCAGTTGGTTGGCAGTAGATATCATAGATGTAGTAGCTATATTAGCACTTAGTTTTTTTTCAATACAAAAATCAGATATTTTAATTTTTATTCTCTCTACACAATATTCATCTCTGTTTACATTTTTGCTTCATGCTACTTCTTCACATGGAGTTCAAGTTCAACTGTGTTATAGGTAACTGTTTTAAATACTTTCTCAATCTCATTTTATGTGATACGATTTGATGTACGAGTGCCAAAATATTTAACTAATGTAAATTTAAGTATAAAATTTTCAAGTTATTGACCATAGACTGAATAGATTTTGATAATTTATTGAACATGAAATTGATTTAAAAATCTAATTGAAAATCTTTTCAAGTTCCCAAGGTACTTTTAGTATCAAATCTGAACAAAATGTCCATATTGCAACTTCAACTTGCAACTTACAAATAGATAAAGGGAGCTGGGAGGTGAAATATATCCTTTTGAACAAGATCCCCGTGCTTGAATAACTAGAGGAAATTAAGTGAATCACAACATGCAAACAATACAAATCCCAAGTGGTCAGTATAACACACAATTTATGTACAAATCAATATTGACAAAGTAACATGAATATCTCCGATGGTTAGATTTATTTCTATCAGCCGATCAGGGGAGCGAAACACAAACACAAAAGAAGAGGGAGAAAGATGCACATATACCAAATTTTATTGCTCCAAGTCCTTTTTGTTATCAATATCAGCATTTCCAGTACCTGTCCCTTGCCATGTCCAAACAATGTCCTTCAATGCAGGCCTAACTTCCTCTTCACAAAACTTGTTATACTCCAACGTGTCACCGGAGGACTTAGAGAGCTCGACCACGGTGACTTCCGGGGCCACCTTAAACACCTCAGCGGTGACCAACAACCGCCCTTTTCGTCCTTCCTCCGGGCATTGCATCTTCAACTTGAATGGTTTTACCCTATAAACCTTATACCTCATAACTTTAGCCATTTTCTCCATTTTACGGATGACATCCCGGGCAGTGCTCCTTGAAGTGAACATGGATGATGCCTTCCCTTTGATCTCAAACAAGCTAGACAAGTCGAAACCAGAAGACATCGATGAAATCAACTCGAATGCATTGAAAAATGCAGGGGATGAAGGGGATTTCCTAATCATCCCTCCTTGTTTGCTGCTCATTCCTTCTTCAACATGATCATTTTCTCGCTCCTTTTCTAACTTTTGAAAATCTTGGATTGAAAAAGCCCGTGGCATCGCGAAATCCTTTCTAAACCACGGAACCCTCATGATACCTTGAATAGTGATCCTCCTGTCCGGATCAGCCATTAAAAGTTTAGATATCAAACGCCTCGAATCCATTGAAAACCAAGGAGGGAACTCAAAATACGCCTTGAAAATCTTCTTGTACATGTTCATCACATTCTCATCTTGAAATGGTAGGTAACCAGCTAGAAGCACATACAAAATAACCCCACATGACCAAATATCAGCTTTTGCACCATCATAACCTTTCCTCCTTAAAACCTCAGGAGCAACATATGCTGGTGTCCCACACTGTGTATGAAGCAAACCATCATTTCTACTCAACTGCTCATCAGGCAAAGCCGATAACCCAAAATCAGATATCTTCAAGTCCTCATTCTCATCAAGGAGTAGGTTCTCAGGCTTCAAATCGCGATGATAAACACCTCGACTATGACAGTAATCAACAGCACTTATCAATTGTTGAAAGTACTTTCTTGCTGTATCTTCTTTAAATTTGCCTTTGGATACTAATTTCGCGAAAAGCTCACCCCCTTTAACATACTCCATTATAAAGAAGATTTTAGACTTTGTAGCCATGACTTCTTTGAGTTCAACAATATTCGGATGACGGACAAGGCCCATCACAGAGATTTCTCTTGTGATTTGCTCCATCATTCCTTCTTTCTGAACTTGATCTTTTTTTATCACTTTAATGGCTACACTTTCCCCTGTTTCGAGTTCCTTACCATAGTACACTTTCGCAAAAGTTCCTTTGCCTAATAATGTCCCAATTTCATACTTCTCAAACAACAATTGTCTCTCCTCCATATCAAATGTGCACACTCGAAAATAATGAAAGATTTATAAGTTCTTCTCAAAGGTTGAGAAGAACAGAGGATGTAACAAGACTAGATATATTGACTTCTAAATCACATCCAAAGAAAAATCCATTGAATAATTCATTAACAAGTAGAAATTGGAACAGGGGAAAAGACAGCTAATTCAATAATCAATCTTTTCAATAAATAATAATAATAAGTGATACTAAGCCAACATTTTCTGTCATAATTTGAGTGGCTTCAAGTTGAACTTTCAAAGTCACAAGTTGTTTGATGTCTACCTTCACCAAAATAACGACAACAATGATAATTAAGTTAATTATTCGTGGATAGTAGCAATTATTATTATTTATTCTAGTTTTGGAGTTAAAATCAATATTAAAAAGGAAATAATGTAAGGTGCTTTAGTGGAGGGCCACAAATTCATGTGATTAAATAAGAGTTTCATAATTGATGATTGATTTAGATTCATGGAGCGTAAATTCTATTTGAATGGAATTACTCTCTATTCAGAATCTTTATATTACAAAGATTTGAACTTGAAATCTCGAGTTAAGGACGGAGGAATTTTATCCATGTGATATTAAGAAAGGAGTTTAATATGCATGAGAATGAATCTGTTGCTTACCAAGTTATCACAATTGTGAGATTTATTAGATAGAACTTAGTAAAAATGTAAAATGGCCTTTTTTTTATAAAGAATTACTCCCTATTCAGAATTTCTATATTACAAAGACTTGAATTTGAAATATCTAAATTAAGGACGGAGGAATTTTATCCAATTGGTAAAAATGTAAAATGGCCTTTTTTAAGGATTTATTTGTTCACATTATTTGGTTCAGATTTGGTGGAGGAACCTCGTTGTTTCTTCCATTGCCAACTATTTTTCTATTGTTTAATCCACCAATTATTTGATTTTCGCATATCTACCCAAAATATTTTATATATTAAAAAAAAAAAAGGCAGGGGGACTAAGAAACATATAAAAAAAATGCCAATTTTTTTTAAAAAATAAACGACTAAATGTAAGATGTAATCAGGAATGTTTGAAAAGTAGATACTAGATTTAATTGAATTTGAGTGTTGATTGGATGATATCCATTGGGTAAATCCACTATCCAATTGTGTCAGAAGTCTTATCCTTACTTCACCTAGATGGTTAGGCCACCATGTTGTCTATACGCGATAGACTCCTGAAACCATGACATATTTGCGATGATTGTATACTACGCTAGCTAATTAATATGTCCAAGCATCCACCTGACCTATTAAATTCGTGGTAATAACAAGGTAAATTTTTTAGGGAACTTACATAAATTTCATTAGTTTAGGAGCTAATTACTTAGATACACTCTAGTTTGCAATATTATGTATATACATGGGTCAAATTTAAGTGTAATTTGTTATAGATTCATTGTGTCCAAGTGGATTAGCATGTATCTGGATACATAGCAAATCTCGCTCACCTCCATCGTCTCTCTCATCTCGCTCGCTACTCTCCCATGTATCTGGCATCTCATATACATGTGAATCACTTTAGAGACATACATATACATGTATGTAGTGTGTATTTAGTGTGATTCACATGTATCTGGGATACATACGAATCTCGCTCGCTTCTCTCACTATTTTTATGTATCTGATTGCAAAAATTACATGTATCTAAGTGTAAAATATGTAGGAAACTCTTAATTAATGATAAGATATGCAATATTTTGAAAGTATAGATAATAGTAGTATATATGATGAGAAAATTATCAAAATGGTACTTGATTTATAAGGGTTGAATAATTTTGGTCCTTCATATATACTATCATATTAGTCCTTATTGTATGTTAAAAGAGATCATTTTGGTCTTTAACCCTAAAACTAACCACGAAAGTTAAAAATTCTGTTAAATTGTGGGTCCAGTGACAACTAGCCCTTCTCCCTCAATCTTCTTTCTTTCACCATTAAAGCTCATTTTGTATCCTCAATCCACCACCTGCAATATCCTTGCAAGAAAAATAACATTACACCCATTTCTTATCTCCCGCTAAACAAAATTTCCAGCAACTCACATTTCCATACAAAAATGTAAAAAAACGAGACCATTAATACAAATGTGAACTAAGTAAAGTAGATAAATACTTTATTCTTCCTGTGAGATTGTCATAAGTCAACTATTTTCAGCTTTAACCAGCTATTCTCTCATGTGAAAGCTCTATACGGGAAGAATATTGGTATTCTCCCTTTTTAAAAATTAATAATTTTTCAATGTATTTACTTGTTTTGTTCTAATGTTCAAATAATTTGAATTAACGAGGGTAGAAAATAGAATATTAAAAATATCTTTTTGAAATTTTTAAAAAAATTGTGAGTAAAAGTGGGTTTTGTTAATAGAAAGAAGAATAGATGAAGAAAGAAGATAGAGTCTGACCAAAGAAAAACAAGAAAGAAGATTGAGGGAGAAATGATACTTTCACATGTTAATTTCAAGGGATCCACTTAAAAGTTAACAGAATTTTTAACTTTTATGGTTAATTTTAGGGTTAGGACCAAAATGATCATTTTTTTATATACATTAAGGATTATTTCAATAAGGTAGTATATATGAAGAACCAATATTATTCAACCTTATACACTAAGGACCATTTTGATTATTTTCTCGATAGTGAAGTATGTCTAATTATGTAGTTTTTCCAAAATTTTACGAGACCGGCTATTTTTATATCCTTATTTAATCTATATTCATCGCTTCAAATACATGATTTTTAAAGTTAGAATTGACAAAATCAATTTTCACACAGAAATATTATCTGAAGTTTACATATAAATGAAGTTCATATATTTTTGCTTTAATCCAATCCGTCCAATTCACACATAAACCCACGTCTTGATTCTATTTTCCTAGTAGACAAGACCTATTCATTAACTAACTATAGGAAATCAATTCTTCCATGAATCCGTCCAATTATGTCATAAACGCAATCAATATTATACACGAGTAATTCACTATATATTTTAAATTAGCAAAACATATTCTGAAATTTGAAAAAATCAAAAATATTTTTCTAAAGTTCCTCCCTCTTGGTCTATTAGAGAGGGGATTGGTATACCTCAATTGTGAACATGCAACCCATTATAACAATCACACATTTCTAAAGGATATGCTATAGACTATAGTACTGTCACCAGCTAAAATTATCACATACAAACCGCAAAGACTTTATCAAGGCAAATTGTTAGAAAATTGGGATCCATATATAAAATAAAACTTATATTAAAAATAGCTTATAGTAGTACTCTACTTCCAAAATTTGTATTGGGTCGAAATTTCAGTCGAATAAGAACATTCCCATGTGTATGACTTGTATATCAATGTTTATGTCAGGTATATAATATAGATGCGCAAGAGATACAGAGAATATATATATACAAGATGTACGCATGATATATACACATGGTATACACAAGATTAAAAAATGACATACACAGGATATATATACAAGATATACATGTGACATACGATGATGTCTTGTTAATGAAAATCAATTTTGAAACAGTTTTAAATGCACTGCAGTCCTACAAACTATTTACAACAAAGTTGGGCGATACTCAATAGATTTTAACGTAAAATTTTGAGTTTAATTGAAACCTACCTTGAAGCTTCAACTTAACAATGGTGCATGGAACCATATCTCTTCTCTCAAATCCGAGTTCCTAGTAAAGAATATATAATATAGAAAAAAGAAATAGCATAAAAGAGAAAAAATAATTAAAAAAGAGAAGAAGATCCAAGCCCAAAAGTTGAGCCCAATTCCATAGCAAAAAAAAAAAAGGACTTATTGCACATGGGATTCAAACCCACAACGTAAAGGCACTTCTTGAACCTCTTTCCACTGAGCTAAGCTTCTCACTTATTTTCAGAGGGTTCATATATATATGACATCCTGTAATAAACTAAGGTTTGTATTGATTGTATAGGAACTTACAAGCTGATCAAAGAACAAAAGAAAAATAGAAAAGTTAAATTTTAGATTGCTATTACAAAATACCTAATAAAAATAACACTAACTCTTAAGCGCTTAACGCGAATGAGAAGTTCATCCTTTATATATAGACATCTTTAGTGGTGACTAGATTTGTAACATTACTTTGGCCCAAATGTACACTTAATCAATGAAATTCACGTGGTCACCAAAATGTTTAATCATGTGAGTTTAATTTGAATTCTATACTTCAACAATATATCAGGTACTAGTATGGATATTCTAATTATATGGTCCTTGACTTAAAAGTAACTTTAACTTACCTCAAGGTCTTGGCTCAACTTAGCTCTTTCTAGTCCATCAAGAGTTCATAATTCACAATACAATTACAATAAACATGTCTCAACTTCATCATTACAAGTTCTCTATTTTTACTCAATAGTCTATTGGCACTATATATGACTAATGCCATTATCTTTGGATGTTTCCACCCAATTAGTGAAATTTCAGATTTGATTTGTTCATTTTAATTCTACCATTGAGCTAGATATATCTCAACCCATTAGTCTATCAATCAATCCATTTACCAAAATACTATATTTGTTAATGATTATTCGATTAGTTGGGCTAAATAACGTGAAAATATAACCCTAAGACCTCTTTCTCCTAATAAAAACAATAGTTATATCATATGTGTGTCGTCTGCAACAATTAGGGGTGGCAATTGGACAGGTTGGATCAAATTTGGACGGCTTATAATGAGTTGGGTTGACATGAGTTGTGCTAATAAATAGGCGTGTTAAACTTAAATGGATTGGGCGAATTGAGTATGATTTTGCCACCGATAACTTTAACACTCAAGGCTTCTTTGAGCTAGGGGTGGGCATAAACACCGAAAAACCGAAAAACCGAAAAAACCGAACCGAACCGAACCGAATTCTTTTGGTAATTCGATTTCGGTATTTCGGTTTTCGGTTCGGTATTCGGTATATGGTTTTGTATTTTTCGGTATTTCAGTTCGGTTTTCGGTATGTAATTTTTGTGTAATTCGGTATTTCGGTATTTCGGTTTACCGAAATATATTAAATTATAATATATATTAATATTATATTAATTATTAATATTTAAAAATAAATATTATAATTTAAAATTAAAAACAAAAGTTTGTCTTTTCAAACTTTTCAACTTTACAAACCCACTTCCCAAAAGGCAAAAATTACCGTTCCCACTTCCCACGTCTAGTCGTCTACAGACTATAGCAGCGTCGACCATTCCGGCGACCAGCAGCACGCAGCAGGGCAGCTGGCAGCCGTAGCACAACAACGACCGATAAATTTCAATGTTATAACA